TGATAAAAAATTTAATTATTATTTATATAATAAATAATTTTTTTAAAATTTATATCTAAAAAATTTTAAAATCAAATTAACTCTATAACAAAAAATAACCGCATTCTAGAAGTACTTTAATAGCTCAAAAAATTATTAGTATTAAATTCTTCTATTAATATTATTAGATAGAAGTGGCCGACAAGTTATTCAAACCCTCCTTAATTAATTAAACGATTTTTTCTATACAATCGTGAATTCATTCTACAATTTTTACTTTAAAAATATGATGTAATCTGTAAAGTAAAATAAAAATTTTGATAATTAATTTTTTTTACTTTGATTATATAATGAAAAAAAATTATTATTTATTACTTATTTATTATTATTTTTTTATTTCATTTATATATTATATGAACTCAAATTTAAAATATCATATTTAAAAAAAATAATCATTAAATTACTTAAATAATTAACAATTTTAATAACCAAATAAAATTTCCCGGATCGTCAAATTTGCCGCGTGGGTTAATTTTATTTAGTACGAAAAATCCTGAGTATTGTTGGTGGGTCCACATTGAACTTTGATCATTTCTTCCGTCACTTGCTCAGCTTCCGCGTTGGAAATGGGACTAATAAATACTTTTCTAATCCTATATCTTTATGATATCTTGCAAATTCGCACTTAACGTTTGATAAATTAACATTCGAATCCCGAGTATTTAATGGGAAAGTGAAAAAAATTTAGCTTATTAACATGAGAAAGTCTATTATTTAGCAACGCTTTGATTATGGATTCATTAGTGAGAGCTTAATTCAGTTATTAGTTTATAGTAAACCAAAAATTTAACTTTTATAAGGGGTAAAAGCATATAATAAAATAATGACATATATAACATGATAGACTTATAAATAAAATAATAAATAAATAAATTTTATATTAGGTATTAATAAGTTATATGATTTTATCTAAAATTGTTAAAGATACAATTAATTTGATATTCAGTTTCATAGATTCGCTCTTTCTCCTAATATCCTCCATCAAAGAAAACTTAAGAATTCTTTTTTTAGGGGAAAAGATTAAGAACTAAATTTTGTACATGGACAACAAAATTAGAAAGATTAGGAACTTAGCTGTTTGGTTTTAAAAGTTATAGAATGAAGCAACATCTGATTTGAAAGTTGAGAACTAAAAATGTTATACTATGGGCCTATT